AGTATTGGCAAAAGGGTCGTATATTCACTGCTGGTGGAAATGTAAATGCGTTTTCGTACTTTGCAGAGCAATTTGGCAATATCTATAAAAGCTGAAGATGTGTATGCATTCCTTGTGACCCACCATTTCCACTGCAGGCACATGCCGTGTGTTGGGGTTCTGAAAGTGTGGTCCTTGGACCAATATCAACAACATCACTTGTTAGAAATGCAGATTCTCAGGTCACTTCTCCACCTATTGATCACAAACTCTGGCTTTGGTGCTCAGAAACCTGGTTTAACAAGACCTTCAGGTGATGCTAATATATGGTGAAGTTTGAGAACCACTCACCCAAGGAGGCCCATGTGAGAATGCTCAGAGCATTAATGTTCATAATAGATAATGAGGAATAACCCCTAAATGTCTCTCTTTAGGGAAATGAATCAAATGTGGCATATTCACAGTAATGAAAAGTTAATGACTTAGAGCAACATGTATTAACATGGATGAATTTCACAAGCTAGGTTGTGTGCAAAAAATAACAATGTGAAGAAAAATATACGGACTATGGTACTATGTAAGTAAAATTGAAAGCATGCTGTATATAATTTAGCAGTACATACATATGTAGTACAAGTATAAGACATTCATGAGAAGGACAAATAAACTTACGTTGGCAGTGACCTCTTGTTGGTAAGGGGCTGCTCCTGCTCAAACTCTTGTTGGTTTCTCCTTATCCTCTACCTCTTAATGGTGGCATGGCCAAGACTCAGTCTTTGGACCTCTTTTGTTATCTGTCTTCATACATTCACTTGGTGGTAACATCTAATGTCATTTTAATCACTTTATGAGCTGTCCGCTGACCATAGAGGATGGACTTTATAAAGACTTTTGTTAGCATAGTGCCTAAGGCACTTGACTGCTAACCAGAAGGAGTGGCAGTTCCCACACCAGCCCCTGCTCCGCGGGAAGGTTTGGCAATCTACTTCCGTAGTGATACCACGTCAGAAACCCCATTAGGGGTCACTATGAGTCGGGTTCGACTTGACGGTAGTTAACAACAACTTGCCACCACCATATCTCACCATCTCCCTCTTGGATGACTCAAATAGCATTCCCACTGACCTCCCTGCTCCTCTCCTTACCCCTTTTCAGTCTATCCTCAATATAATATTGCAGTCATTTAAAGATGTTTAAAAATCATATCATGTCGATCCTTTGTTCAATCCCTTTATCAGCTTTCTGTTTTACTCTGTGAAGGTCAAATTACCTGCAATGGACGAGAGGCCTGTTACCTCTGGCTTTACCTACTCCCTCTGCATCTATTCCATTCCATTCGCACTGGCCTCCTTCGTGTTCCCACAGCCTGGCTGGCAAACTCTTCCCTCAGGGCATCCATACTTGGAGTTTTCTGTAACTTGGATGACTTCCTCCAAACCATCTTCATGGTTCGTTCTTCCACTTCCTTTTTAAATCTTTACTCAAATGCCACCTTCTTACTGAGGCGTTGTGTCTGCCCTCTGGCTGATCATGAGCCTTCCAGAAGTCCTGTGTGCTGTCCCTCACCCCTACAGGGTTTCTTACCAGAGCGTACAGCCAGAAGAATGGGGCTGACCTCTTCAACCAGGCACATCTCCTTAGAGTCGCTCTCTTGTGGACACTTTTGGGAATAGCAGTCTCTGCCGGACTCGGGTCTGAGAGATTAGTAATGGACAGAAAGAAGGGAAACAAACAGATAGTGGTAATTTTTCATTTAGACGTTAATTTATATAACCAAATAAGTTGTTAAATATTTGGAATATTTTAAATGTCACTTCTTACTATACATTATTATTTAATACACTAAAAAAAAAAACCCACAAAAAAAGATTTTTTTTCGGGGGGGATAGTAAATAATAATGTATAGTAAAAAGTGACATTTAAAATATTCCAAATATTTAACAACTTTTACTACACTATTACAATGAAGGAGCTCTGGTAGCATAGTGCCTAAGACACTTGACTGCTAACCAGAAGGTTGGCGGTTCAAACCCACCAGCCACTCCTCGGAAGGTAGGTTGGGCAATCTACTTCTGTAGTGGTACTGCCTGGGAAACCCAAGGAGGGGTCGCTATGAGTCGGGGCAGATTCTACAGCACATAACAACAAGAACAACAACATTACAATGAAAATACCTTTGCTTTCTGTTTATGTTTTTTTAAAGTAATACTTTATTGTGTTTTTGGTGAAAGTTTATACAGAAAGTTAGGGTCCCAGGTGACAATTTTCACATAGGTATCCAGTGACATCAGTATATATTTATACACTATATATTTATATATGGGAGCTCTGGTAGCATAGTGGCTAAGACACTTGCCTGCTAACCAGATGGCTGGCGGTTCAAACCCACCAGCCACTCCT